ACGCCGTCGTGCTGACGGAACTCTCCCGTGAAGCTCTGCTGGCTCGGAGTTCGCGGGACGTCATCGAGCTGAACATGTGCTGAACTCGGAGGTGCCGTGCGTTCGGTATTTGGATCGGTCGGATCGTGAAGACGTACGACTACATCAACCGTGTTGTGCTAACGCTTCCGCTTTCGGTCTACGAGGGTACGTGGACAACACTCTCCCCTCTCGTTGCTATGCATCACCATGATCTTGCGTGTGCATAGGAAATTTTTGAAATTACTACGTTCTCCAATAAAAACAACGAATGACGTAGTTTCAAAAACCAATTTGTAAAATGGTGTGTCAACTTAGGATCAAACCCTTGACCTTGAGCCCAGAGACGCTAAAGGACCAATAACCAACTAGACTAACAACAGTTTATGGTTTATTAATCGATTACGTCCAATATTATGCGTTCTTATTTGAACTAAGGTCAATTTTCATAAAAATAATTGATCTAAGGTCAACCATTTAAAAAAATGTAACTTAAATATTTCATTTTTTTGTTCGCGAATGAACCAATGAACCTGCGGTTCGACGGTGAACCTAAACCGGTAGCCTCAACGGTTTGTTTTTGAAAACTATGATGATACTATGTTGGTGGCCCCCGTGAAGGGAAATGGATGCTGTGTGAACCTTTCTATGTCGTATGTGAACCTTAGGCGCCCTTATGTCAAGGCCAAGAAAAGTTACAACCCCAATAGTTATAAGATGTAGACATCATGCACAGACAAACCATCACCAAAGAAAACTGCACACACTGAAAATGGCGTGTACTAAGACTAAATTCACAAAGTATTCGGAGCAAAAAAAATCATATAGGGTGCCTCGCTATTTGTCTTATTCTCCCAGGTTCAAATCTATGTTTGATACAATTTTTTGTACTAAATCAAAGTGCAGACATGACACAGTTCACTGGGAAACGTATATCCGTGTTAGGCGATATGGATGAATCTCTAGATGTTTTATCTAACGCATGTAAGAAAAATATGCATCAGTTGATGTTTAGGCAGTATGGGTTATTCTTCTTTTTGAAAAAAGCACATAATGTTTAGCATATCCATTTACTAAATAGGTGTGATCGTTCTACATCGCCCCCATCTTTTTTGTCATGTCGTCATCACCGTCCATCCAACCATGCTAGACTGCATTGACGCCTCCTTTTTTTCATGACCGATGGCCACCATCGCCAGATCATTTTCTCTCTCTTCAAACCTCTATTAACTTCGGTGAATATCAAAGCACTAACCACACCTCCAACCTTAACACCTCAATTGCTCCTACAAGGTCCTATTCCCTGGATTTTTCATACTCACCACTCATCGTTGATTTCCGCCTCACGACCTTATGATGTCTGCCATAGTATTCTCTCTCATTCTCCGTCGCTCATGTGCATCGACGATGGTGCGTCTATGTTCACTCACACTAAAATTTGATCATGTATCTAGATGTACGGTTTTGCTAAACGTCATGAATTTTGTAAATCACGTTACTCAATTTTGTTGCCTAAGAGAAGTGAAGCTTCGAGCCTGGGACGATTGGCCATGGCGGCCTAGGTGGGAGCAATCCATGGACGAGCGGTAGACGACGACGATACGGCTGGTCGAGGGTATCGACGATGGGAGGGAGACGAAGGTTTACCATGTTCGAGTGGGGAGGGAGGCCTTGCCGCAACGACATCGGCGAGGGCACAGTCATGGCCTTATCATAGGCGGGGTCATGAGGTATGTGTCAATTGAGATAATGTGGAACTGTCAGAGGGGGCGGGGAAATTAGGCGTGTGGGTCAGGGTTGAAGACGAATAGGAAGTCTGGAAGTTGAAGATGAGCAGGCGAACCAACATGTGGTTGGATTGTTAGGATAACAGTGGTATCCCCAGCCCACCAGGTTTCAGGTCCCGGTGCTCGCCTTTTTCTGGATTTATTTCAGGATTTTTGGCGATACATGTTCAGTGGGAGAAGACGTTTCCGTCGACTGAGGTGCTCATAGGGGTAGTGTCTATGTGTTTATAAGGATAAGTGTATATACGTATATATAGGCGTCTGCGTTTGTACCGTGCTCTAAAGAAAAGTTGAAGATGAACCGTTAAATTCCAATCGTGTGGCCCAAAAAAGTCGAGTGATAACAAAATTATTTTCATGCAACCGAGAAATAATGTGGCCAGTGTGATGTTTGCGAGCGGGACGAGTCAGCCTCGGTAGGAAATGGGTCCGCGACCCCACCAGCCAGCAACCGGCGTCCGTCATCAACTCGTCAGCCCGTCCGTCGCCATCTTCCGCCGCGGCGGCCGTCCCTCTCAGACGGGCGGCGCCACCCCAAAATCCACCTGTTTTGACCCGGCCACCCCCTCCCACCGCCGGGCGTCACTGCCCCCCTCATTCCCCTCGTGCTCCCAAATCGGGACGCGCTCTCCTGTAGAAGCGGAACGGAAACCCCAGTACAAAGCCTCCGTCCGCTCGCCAACTTTACTGCCCCGCGCCGTGGCCGCGAGAGAGGGACAGCTGCGAGGCCGGCACGGACGTCGGACGGGCAGGCGGGCGCCGCCACCAACCGTCGGCGCGCGCAATTCAAACGGGCGGCGGCCGGGACAGCGGGGCCGCAGCTGGGGGATTTAAATGGCGCCTCTTGCCCCCCGCATCCGGCACTCCCCCTCGACCTCGATCCCACCGCCACCTCAGGCCGGCCTCCCCCCGTCTCGCTCTCGCTTAGCTGGCCTGCGCCCATCGATCTCCTCGCGCGTGGCGGGGCGGACTGAGCTAGTCGGACGCCGGGGCGATGGTGGGCAGCTACGCCAACGGAGCGGGAGCAGGAGGAGGAGGCAAAAACGGCGCGGCGGAGGGGAAGCTGGACGAGCTGCGGCGGCGGCTGGGGAAGGCGGAGGGGGACCCGCTCCGGATCGCCGGCGTGGGCGCGGGGGCCTGGGGGAGCGTCTTCTGCGCGCTGCTGCAGGACGCGTACGGCCGCGACCACCGGGACAAGGCGCAGGTGCGCGTGTGGCGCCGCGCGGGCCGCGCCGTCGACCGCGCCACCGCCGAGCACCTCTTCGAGGTCATCAACGCCCGCGAGCACGTCCTCCGCAGGCTCATCCGCCGCTGCGCCTACCTCAAGTACGTGGAGGCCCGCCTCGGCGACCGCACGCTCTACGCCGACGAGATCCTCCGCGACGGCTTCTGCCTCAACATGATCGACACGCCGCTCTGCCCGCTCAAGGTCGTCACCAACCTGCAGGAGGCCGTCTGGGACGCCGACGTCGTCATCAACGGCCTGCCCTCCACCGAGACCAGGGAGGTGTTCGGGGAGATCGGGCGGTACTGGAAGGAGAGGATCAACCCGCCCATCATAATCTCGCTGGCCAAGGGGATCGAGGCGTCGCTCGATCCCATGCCTCGGATCATTACCCCGACGCAGATGATCGCCAATGCAAGTGAGTTCTTTGCTGAACTTTCCTTATGTACTGTATATCTGGTTGATACTTTCTTTTGGTTACATCAAATCCGGAGCTGAATAATTTTAAAGAAGATTTAATAACTGCTGAACTGAATGAGAGCACAGCTCTGTGTGATGTTCCTGATGAAATTAGCAGGCTAATCTTGAATCTGTTCTGCACTTAGTGTCAGTGTCCTTCGTATCCTTTATCTGTACTTAGTGTCTACAGCACATTCTCTATATCCGTTATGAAATAATTGAAGAGCTAGTTAATGCCCTTAGACTAAATGGCTTGCCATGAATGTCCAAGTGTTATGTCCTGCAACACCTTGAGCTGGTGTAGTGGTTAGTACATACACATCATTTTAGCAAGCTGTATCTGCATTAGTACTGAATAATAAGCAGTCTAGTTTCCTCTCATGTTAATTCATTGTGTATATGTGTCAATTCATCGTATATACTTTGGCATGTTCCCTACTGCAATTTAGGCTCTGACCATGTTTTGTTTGTCATGGGTTTTATTTATTGTAGCTGGAGTTCCATTGGAGAATATTCTGTATCTGGGAGGCCCTAACATTGCATCTGAAATCTACAATAAAGAGTACGCAAACGCTCGCATCTGTGGAGCTGACAAGTGGAGGAAGCCTCTTTCTAAATTTTTGCGGCAGCCTCATTTCATTGTATGGGACAATAGTGATCTCATTACTCATGAAGTCATGGGTGGCTTAAAGAACATATATGCCATTGGTGCTGGTAAGTTTCCATTTGCTCTGAACCACTGTCTTATTTTGTTGAGCATGCCTCATATTATCTTGATCAGGAAAGTGAAATCGTTATTGCCATTTCTGCAGCAAACCAGAAATATGTTGAAACCTTATGTTTAACATCCACCACTATACCATGGAATATGTAATTTGATTCTACTGTTTCTTGCATTGATGTTGTCTCTTTCACACGCTACTTGCTGCTATGTTGCATAGATGCTATTGATGCAAGATACAGTAGATTCAAACTACTGATGAATTCAGTATTAAACTTGGCAGACATGTATAGATTTCTGTATTCGTTTTTTATATTCTATTCATGGCCTAATCTTTCAACGGTTTCGCTGAACATCGTATTTTCTTGTAGGTATGGTGGCAGCACTGACCAACGAGAGCGCAACAAGCAAAGCAGTGTACTTTTCACTTTGCACCTCTGAAATGATATACATCACCCACCTGCTAGCGGAAGAGCCCGAGAGACTTTCTGGACCACTATTAGCAGATACTTATGTTACACTATTGAAAGGTCGTAATGCTTGGTATGGCCATAAATTAGCTAAGGCAGAACTGACTCTGGAAATGGGGGACAGCATCAAAGGCAAAGGGACTATACAGGTTTGTGTCGCGATCCAAATAATACAAGTTTGCATAACTGTCAGGCTGAGTTTTTGGGTTGGCACAGCCGTATGCTAAGTTCTCTGTGTTCTTTTTCCACCTGTAGGGTGTCTCTGCAGTCAATGCATTTTATGAACTCCTGAGCCAAGGCAGCATAAGTGTGACGCACCCAGAAACCAAGAAGCATGTTGCTCCTGTCGAGCTGTGTCCGATACTCAAAACACTGTACAAAATTTTAATCAAGAGGTTGGAATGCTCTTGCTTCTTGGATCACCATTATTCCTTGTTGTCGCAGTTTTTCTTTTGTTACAGTCTGTTGCCTCTACAGCTGTCTGAATTTTCTGTACGACTTATGCAATTGCAGGGAGCTTGGTACCAGTTCCATTCTTGAGGCAATACGCGATGAATCAATGTCCGATCCACGGGAAAGAATTGAGATGGCACAGCGCCAATCCCTCTACCGGCCATCTCTCCTCGGCCTGCCTAAAGGCGATATCAAGCTGTAGTAGTTGCAGCCTTTATTTACGCAGAAATGCTGTGAGTTTCCATGGTTTGCCGATTCTTCTGTCGGTGTACCCCGCAAGTGTATATGTATATATATATATATGCTTATATGTAGCACGAGATGAGTTTTTTTAATGAGCAAGGCGAGATAAACTTCTTATCGTCCGAGTTGACGCCCACCTGTATATACAACCCTTGGTTCAATTGCATTTATTTCTTATAGATGGGAAACGAGGTACCTGTGATCTTTTTGAATTTAAACTCGTTGCCACTGCTTTAGTTGATTGGCAGTGTTTCCTTCAGAAGCAGAGGACGCCTGTAGTTCTGTATATGTAATGATTTTTTTGAGGTTTTGCTCTTTTTAAGAGTGTGCTAGTTTGAGATCCATTTGTAATCTAATGCTTGTATGAAGTGTTAGACTGTATATACGTACCTCTGTACCTCTCTGTATATACCCTGTATTGTACCTCTTGCTACTTCTATATATATGAGATAGCCACACCTGTTCAGGGTGTCGAGCAGTTTCCCAAACATATCGTCTTACATGGTATCAGTTTAGGTTACGATGTCTTCCGCTGCATACACCGCCACTGCCGCCGCCGCGGCTCCGGCTCCTGTCTTGCCCTTCCTCGCCTCCTGCCCGCTGGCAACGATGTGGCAGGCCCAGTCCCCCGGGGCCGTCCCTTCTGGCTCCCCGATTGGATCTGAAGGGATGGGCGATCTGCCTCCATCGATCGGTGGCTCGACCAACCACATCGTCCCGTCGTCCTACGGTGGCGCTGCGTACGCTGCCCCGCCCATGTACGGGCCCCCGGCTGCACCGATCCATCCGTCTGGGTATGCTGCCTCGCCCATGTACGGGCCCCCGGCTGCATCTCTCCAGGGCGTACTGCCTCAACAAGCTGCTCCTGTGATGACCCATGGTGTGGCGCCGCTCCAGGACGTACTGCCCCAACCGGCTCCTGCGACGAGCTATGGTGCAGCGCCGCCGCCATCATCCGCGTGGCGTGCGCCTCCCTACGGCGCGGTGCAACCGCAACCCTATACGGCGCCCGCGCAACTGATGTCCTACGGCGCTGCATCCACCGCGCCCTATGGGGGGCCTGCCGCACCTCACTACGGTGCACAAACTGCTGCTCCGCCTGGCGCCTACCCTTCGCTGATGTATGATGGTGTCGTGCCCGCGTCGCATTCATCCATTCACGCGGATCCTGCCGTGGCGTCGTCGCCCTTCTACTTCTCGCATCTACTTCCGGTGAAGCTCTCGCCGGACAATTATTTGTCGTGGCGTGCTCAGGTGCTGCCTCTTCTTCGAAGCCGCTACTTGGAGGGATACGTGGATGGATCCATCCCGTGCCCTGGTCCTACTGCGCCATGGTCTCACCAGGATTTCAGTGGTGTTTGTGTGTCGCCTACGCACTGGCATGCGCGCCTTGGTCATCCTGCTGCTCCGATAGTTCGTCATGTTCTGCATCGTCATGAGCTTCCCGTTGTGTCCAATAAAATTGCTGAAACTATCTGTGATGCCTGTCAGCAAGGCAAGAGTCATCAACTTCCGTTTTTAGAGTCGAGTCGTGTTGTTCAGCACCCTCTTGAGCTTGTTTTTTCTGATGTGTGGGGTCATGCCCAAACGTCTATTAGTGGCCACAATTACTATGTCACCTTTATTGATGCTTATAGTCGGTTTACATGGCTTTATCTTATTAAGCGCAAGTCTGATGTGTTTGATGTTTTTATCCAGTTTCAAGCACATGTTGAGCGTCTCCTTAAGCATAAAATTCTTCATGTTCAGTCGGACTAAGGGGGTGAATATCACAACCTCAATTCTTTTTTTAATAAGCTTGGGATCTCGCATCGTGTGTCTTGTCCTCATACACATCAGCAGAACGGCACCGCTGAACGTAAGCATCGTCATCTTGTAGAGACTGGCCTGACCCTACTGGCTCATGCCTCCGTTCTGTTTCGGTTTTGGAGTGATGCTTTTTCAACAGCTTGTTTCTTGGTAAATAGGCTTCCCACACGACTTCTGAAAATGAAATCTCCTCTTGAACTGCTGCTCAATGAACTCCGAGATTACACATTTCTCAAAGTCTTTGGATGTGCATGCTGGCCTCACCTTCGTCCATATAACAAGCGCAAGCTAGAGTTTCAGTCTAAAAAGTGTGTTGTTCTCGGGTATAGTTCCCTCCACAAAGGGCACAAATGCCTCCATGTTCCCACCAATCGTGTTTACATATCTCGTGATGTCATGTTTGATGAGAGTGTGTTTCCTTTTCATGCACTTCCGAACGACTCTACTACTCCGACACCACCTATGCACTCCACCATACCTTTGCCTGATCAATTTGTAGATGTTGCACATGCTCCTATGCTGCTTCCTAATCTTGCTGCAGGTATTGGACGTGGCGCACGGCTTGAGCTCCTCATTGATCAGGTGTTGAATGATGATCATGGCAGAGGTGTTGATCGTGTGCATGGGCCATGCATAGCGGGTCAAACCCGTCAACCCGTCTCTGCCCCGCCTGGTGCAGCCACGCATGCTGCGCCCACAGCAGCGCCACGGGTGGCCACTCCGCCTGGCTCGGTGGTCTCCACACGAGCGGCTCCTTTGCGTGGCCCGATGGCCACGCCTGGTCTGGACACTGGCTCAGTGGCTATCCCGGCTCCCGGTGGGCTTGCTCCCAGTGGGCCGGACTCGCCTGGCCCGACGCCGCGTGGCTCCCCATCGCCAACAGCCCCTGCGACTGGTTCAGCATCGCCGGCTTCTGCAGGCTCCACATCATACCTGCCGCCTGAGTCGAGCCAGGTATCGCCAGTACGACCTGCAGCTGTTGTGCTCCACCCCCGCACACGCAGTCAGAATGGGGTTTTTCGCCCAAAGGAGCGCACAGATGGAACTGTTGCGTGGCTTGCCGCTTGTGTGGCTCATGCTGCTGCTGATCCTATAGCTGAGCCACACCATTTTGAGGCTGCTATCAGGATTCCTCACTGGTGAGCTGCGATGGAACAAGAGTTTCAGGCTTTATTGAAAAATGATACTTGGCGACTTGTTCCACCTGTTTCTGGTGCTAATATCATTGACTCCAAGTGGGTCTTAAAAGCTAAGAGACATGCTGATGGTTCCATTGAACTCTACAAGGTGCGGTTAGTAGCAAAGGGTTTCAAACAGAGGTATGGTCTTGATTATGAAGACACGTTCAGTCCAGTTGTCAAACCTACTACTATTCGTTTGCTGCTCTCTCTGGCTGTTACTCGAGGATGGTTTCTTCGTCAGCTTGATGTGCAGAATGCTTTCCTCCATGGTGTCCTTGAGGAGGAGGTCTATATGCGCCAGCCCCCAGGTTTTGTTGATCCTGCACATCCTCAGCATCTCTGTCGCCTTGTTAAGGCACTGTACGGACTTAAACACGCTCCTCGTGCGTGGCATGCGTGTCTTGGCTCAGTTCTTCGGGCTCTTGGGTTTGTTCCCTCCACAGCTGACACCTCTTTGTTTCTCCTTCAGCGTCCTGAGGTAATGATGTATCTCCTGGTTTATGTTGATGATATCATATTGATCAGTTCCTCCGACGGTTGCTGCTGATCGTCTTGTGACTGCACTCAGTGCTGATTTTGCCGTCAAGGACTTAGGCGCCCTGCACTACTTTCTTGGTCTGGAGGTTTCGCGGTCGTCTGATGGGTTGTCCCTTACTTAGAAGAAGTAATCTCTGGACTTCTTGCGTCGCGCGGGTATGTTGAAGTGTAAACCTGCTGCCACTCCGATGTCTGCGACTGATTGTCTGTCTGCCCTTGATGGAGACCCTCTCTCACCTACTGATGCTACTGAGTACCACAGTTTTGTTGGAGGTCTGCAATACCTCACTATCACCAGGCCAGATGTCTCCTATGCAGTTAATCGTGTGTGCCAGTTTCTTCATGCACCCAGGACGTCTCATTGGTCAACGGTGAAGCGTATTCTTCGCTATATCTGTCTCACTTGAAGGAAATATGCCCTAGAGGCAATAATTTATTTCCTTATATCATGATAAATGTTTATTATTCATGCTAGAATTGTATTAATCGGAAACATAATACATGTGAATACATAGACAAACAGAGTGTCACTAGTATGCCTCTACTTGACTAGCTCGTTGATCGAAGATGGTTATGTTTCCTAACCATAGACATGAGTTGTCATTTGATTAACGGGATCACATCATTAGGAGAATGATGTGATTGACTTGACCCATTCCGTTGGCTTAGCACTTGATCGTTTAGTTTGTTGCTATTGCTTTCTTCATAACTTATACATGTTCCTATGACTATGAGATTATGCAACTCCCGTTTACAGGAGGAACACTTTGTGTGCTACCAAACGTCACAACGTAACTGGGTGATTATAAAGGTGCTCTACAGGTGTCTCTGAAGGTACTTGTTGGGTTGGCGTATTTCGAGATTAGGATTTGTCACTCTGATTGTCGGAGAGGTATCTCTGGGCCCTCTCGGTAATGCACATCACTCAAGCCTTGCAAGCATTGCAACTAATAAGTTAGTTGCGGGATGATGTATTATGGAACGAGTAAAGAGACTTGCCGGTAACGAGATTGAACTAGGTATTGAGATACCAACGATCGAATCTCGGGCAAGTAACATACCGATGACAAAGGGAACAACGTATGTTGTTATGCGGTCTGACCGATAAAGATTTTCGTAGAATATGTAGGAACCAATATGAGAATACAGGTTCCGCTATTGGTTATTGACCGGAGACGTGTCTCGGTCATGTCTACATAGTTCTCGAACCCATAGGGTCCGCACGCTTAAAGTTCGGTGACGATCGTAATTAGGGTTTTTGTGTTTTGATGTACCAAAGATTGTTCAGAGTCCCGGATGTGATCACGGACATGACGAGGAGTCTTGAAATGGTCGAGACATAAAGATTGATATATTGGAAGCCTATATTTGGATATCGGAATCGTTCCGGGTGAAATCGGGATTTTACCGGAGTATCGAAGGGTTACCGGAA